AGGTAGTGAACCTTGGAAGGGAGATTCCCTTTTACATTTTACCTTAACCTCAGAAAGGTTAAGTCACTCGCCGGGTCACACAGCTAGAAAGTGGAGGAGCCACATGTGGCTGCCCTCGCAGCCGTCTGTGGCCCTGATCGTGGTACTCCCCGCCTGTGTCACTTGTTTCTGAGGGTCTGTGTGCGATTGGGTAGTCGCCAGAAGCTTCTGAGGGAAACCGGCTGCTGGAGACTGGCCATTGGCGTGTGCCTCTCCTGGGGTGTTGCTGGTCCACTCCTGTGCCTGTCTCACTTCCCTCCTAGACCCTGGCCTCCTCCAGCTCCTGGAGCCCCCGTCACTGATCCTGGTAACCGCCTCTTCCTCTCACCTTTGCAGGTACTTAGAGAATTACCTGGCCAACCTCTTTGCAGGAGCCTGGGAGCCTCAGCCTGAGGGCCCTCTGCCTCTGGACATTCCCCAGGCATCCTCCCAGCAGGTGAATCGCCTCTCTTCCCTGGCTGAGGACCCCCACCTGGCAGGACAGTCTCTCTTTGAGTCAGTATTGGGGCGTTGATCTTGGGGGCTGATGGTGACTCACACGGTGGGCTCTTTGAGCCCCATCTCTCATCCCAGGTTCAGCGCTGTATGGAAATCTTGAGCCGAGCCAAAAGGCCGCTGATTGTGCTGGGGAGCCAGGCTCTGCTGCCCCCGACACCTGCCGACAAACTTCGGTGAGAAGGCTCAGCTCTGCCCTTACTGTCAAATACCTGGTCCCTGGTCGCCTGTTGCCTTGTGGGGTGGGGGCATGCCCTTGACACTATACTACCTCTGTTCTGCCTGGATCCTCAGGGCTGCTGTGGAGACCCTTGGCATCCCCTGCTTCCTGGGAGGGATGGCACGAGGACTGCTGGGCCGCAACCACCCCCTCCACATCCGGCAGAACCGTAGCGCTGCCCTGAAGAAAGCAGATGTTGTCCTTCTGGCAGGTGGGCCTCGGCCTCCTCTGCCCTCTTCCCTTTGCCTCCCTCCAGGCACCCCGCCCCCCCCCCCCGCCTTTGTGACCCTGACCCTCCTAGTCAGGTACTTACTGGCACCCTACCCTCATAATCACCCACCGTCTTATCTTGGGCCCCACCCCTTCCCCTTTCAGGGGTTTGGCCAACCGTGTACTTTGAAGTCTAGGCAAACTCTCGCAAGGTTGCCGCTGTGTTGTAGGACTCAGCTTCGCACAGAGGAGGATGCACGGATAGAGGGCACCTGCAGTATTTATGTTCTGCATTTGCATTTGTATGCTTCATACAGGATTTCTATAGCACAGACACGTATGGCATGTACATTTTCATGTGAAGTATTTGGAGTCCTGCCCAACACGTAATAGTTGTATCAGTTCTCTGTTGTGTAATAACCATCCCTAAATTCAGTGACTTGAACTTATCATTTCTTAAGGTCCACCTAGAGGTTAGGTGGTAGTTTTTCTGGTTTTGATGGGGCTCATTCATGAGTCTGTAGGTGGAGAGGCAGGAAGGCATCTGGGCTGATCTGGGCTGGGCTGGCGCATGTACTTGGCCTTGGCTGACTACAGGTTAGGCTGACATGACCTTCGCAGGGGTAACTGAGTTCTTTCACTCTTCCCTACCTCTTCCTCCAGCTTTCTTATCATCCAGCAGGCTAGCCTGGGCTTGCTCACTTGGTGGAGGATGAGAAACATGCAGGGATGGGAGAGCAAGGTTTTTTAAGAGAGAGACAGTAGAAGCCACAATTCTTGATGCTTGATCTCGGGAACGCCTGCCTTCACCTGCCACACTCTATTGGTCAGAGCACGTCCCCGAGGCCAGCCCAGATTTGAGGGGTGGGGAGCTGTGAAGTCACTGCACGCGGTACTGGTACAGAGAGGAAGGAAGGATGGGGACCCTTCTGTGCTTAGCTTGCTATGGTGGATTAAGTAAGGTGGTGGGACACTGGCTGTCCAGACACTGAGACCTGGTTCCCCACTCCAGGAGCCGTGTGTGACTTCCGTCTGTCTTATGGCCGTGTCCTCAGCCGCAGCAGCAAGATCATCATTGTCAACCGTAACCGGAAAGAGATGTTGCTTAATTCAGACATGTTCTGGAAGCCCCAGGAAGCCGTGCAGGGTGAGCTCCTGGGACCACCCCCCCCCCCAACACATATATGCGCTTCCCTGTCTTCCTTCTGACCTCTGCTGTAGCTGGCTTGAGCCAGGTGCCGGTGAGGAAAGCCCAGACCCTGCCCCGGTGGGCACCCAGTCAGCCAGGGACACACATTTGGCTCTCAGACTCATGGGTGCTTCTGGATGAACAAATGGTGGGGCCTGGGAACGTGCATGTGATCGTGCCCCTGGTTGCAAACCCTCCCATGCTGCCAGCTGCCTGGAGGACAGAGATCTTCCTCCTGGGCCCCCGAGGCCTCTGTTGTCCTGTCGTGCCATCCCTGTTCAGTCTGCTCCCACAGCCTTTATGTGCTCTGCTCTGCCCATTGTTCCAAGCACATTGACTGTGCTACGTGGAACTTTTTTTTTTATTGTTACGTTAATCACCATACATTACATCATTAGTTTTTGATGTAGTGTTCCATGATTCATTGTTTGTGCATAACACCCAGTGCTCCATGAAGCTCGTGCCCTCCTTAATACCCATCACCAGGCTAACCCATCCTCCCACCCCCCTCCCCTCTAGAACCCTCAGTTTGTTTTTCAGAGTCCATTGTCTCTCATGGTTCGTCTCCCCCTCTGATTTCCCCCCTTCATTCTTCCCCTCTTGCTATCTTCTTTTTTTTTTTCTTTCTTAACATATATTGCATTATTGCTACATGGAACTCTTGAGTCAAACAGAGAAGTGGCATTGCTGCATTCGTGTTTGGGCAGGTCCACTGTAGTAGCTGGTAGGCAGTGAGACAGAGAGGGCAGGTGGAGGCCAGGGGCCCGTTAACCCGGGCCAGGACAGAAAGGACGAGGCCTGGAGCGGACACAGACAGGGATGACAAACTCCGCTTCTGAGCCTCCATGGAATCATTTCTAAGATCGAAATGAAAAGTACATCACTGGCCCATTTCTCGGTCACTTCACAAGCACTCTGCATATCTGGGTCGGAGAGACATGCTTGGCTGATGAAGGTGTTTGGAGGGACGTGTTTTAGAGGCGGGACTGACAGCACTGCCTGATCTGGGGGGTGAGGAGGAGGCAGGCAACAAGGCTGCTTGGGATTCTCACCCACTTTGTGCTTCCTAAATGTTCATTTCTCTGGCCTTGCTCTCCGCCTCACCTTGGCTGCCCTAACCTAGTTCTGGCAGACTCTGGCATGTGTTCTACCTGTTTTGCCCTGGGAACATCCCCAGCCTGCCTCCTTGTCTCCTGCTGGAATGTTGCCATTGGATTCCTGCTGTCACTGGGCCTCTGATGCTGGAAGGGCAGGAGGCCACTTCCCTGCAGCTGTATCCTCTTCCTTCCCTAGGAGACGTGGGCTCCTTTGTGGTGAGGCTGGTGGAGGGCCTTAAGGGCCAGACGTGGGCCTCAGACTGGACAGAGGAGCTTCGGCAAGCTGACCGGCAGAAGGAGCAGACCTTTCGGTGGGGACCGGGTGGAGTGGACGCATGCATGGGCTGGGGGTGTGGTTGTGGGTTCCTGGAAGGCTCTGTTGCTGGCCCTGCTGACGTGTGCTGTTCCGTGGCAGGGAGAAGGGGTTGATGCCTGTAGCCCAGCACCTGAACCCAGTGCGGGTACTGCAGCTGGTGGAGGAAACTCTGCCTGACAACTCGATTCTGGTGGTCGATGGTGGGGACTTCGTGGGTACTGCCGCCCACCTGGTGCAGCCCCGTGGCCCCCTGTGCTGGCTCGATCCTGGTAAGGAGGGGCCTGTGCCTGGGACAGCTAGCATGGTCCGGGCCCCTCTACACCCACCTGCTCTTGGTCTTCCTAGGGGCCTTTGGGACTCTGGGTGTTGGTGCAGGATTTGCACTCGGGGCCAAACTGTGCCGGCCGGATGCCGAGGTGAGTGAGAGTGCTGGAGGCGGGGGGCAGTGAGTGGGTTCTCTGGGCAGTGAGCCACTCAGCCAGCCTTGTTCCCTGCTCAGGTGTGGTGCCTGTTTGGCGATGGAGCTTTTGGCTATAACCTCATTGAATTTGACACCTTCGTCAGACACAAGGTGACCGAGCTGCCCAGAGGGAAGCTCAGAGCTTGGGGTTCTGGGAGAGGTCATCAGGGGTGGGCAGGGCTAGGGAGGGAGCTGCTTCTGTCTGGCAAAGGTCCTGTCCCTGTCTTTTCCTCTGGCTGGCCAAGCCTTAAAACTGAAGGCTGTGGCCTGACCTCATCCTTTTTTTGCAGATCCCAGTGATCGCTTTGATAGGGAATGATGCTGGCTGGACCCAGATTTCTCGGGAGCAGGTGCCCTCTCTGGGCAGCAATGTGGCCTGTGGCCTGGCTTACACTGGTGAGAAGCTGGGGTAGGGTGAAGAGAGGGGGAAGCTGTTCCATGTGTTCCTCTCCTGGGCTGACTGCATGGTGGCCTAGGTCCCTGCCACCATCTGACTTGACTTCCCCTTTTAGATTATCACCGGGCAGCCATGGGACTTGGGGCCCAGGGCTTGCTGCTCTCACGGGAGAAAGAAGATCAGGTGGTCGAGGTGCTTCGTGATGCTCAGCAGCAGTGCCGAGGTGGCCACCCGGTTGTGGTCAACATCCTCATTGGGAGGACGGACTTCCGAGATGGCTCCATTGCTGTGTAGGGCCTCATGGGTCAGTACCCTTGGCCTTGCCACCCCTAGACTGTGCCTGGCTGGTTTAGTCTCATCCTTGCCTGCCTTGGACCTGGCTGATCAGGTCCAGTGACTCTACAACCCTCCCTGAAGACAGGGTGGGGCTGGGGGGTTGGGTCAGAGCTCAGAGAGGTTCCCTGGCAGCACTGGAGAGCTCCTGGGCCTTTTTCTCTGGGCACAACTGCCCTTTCTCCCTTCCTCTTGGGCACACTGAATAAACCACCCATGTGGGCCCCAGCACTCATTCCAGAACTTGTGCATACTGATTTATTGTCCACAAAGATGGAAGTGAGGGAAAAGGGGGAGACAGGAGGGAACCTACTCTCCCACTGGAACTCTGGGGCCCACTGAGGCTCCATTACTGGGGATTTCAGGGTGCCTGGCCACTGCAAATTCTTTCCCCCTCAGAGGTCCCTGAAAGCCCCATACACCTGTCCCAGACGTGTCCATGCACACTAGTCCTCACACACAGACACACACGCACGGAGGCAATAAATATGTTCCGTACCAAAGTGCCCCCAGCCTGACATTTCAGGTGGGGCCCCTCCGAAAGGGAGGTCTTGTAAGTGCTCAGTTTCTTCAGGGATGTGGAGGAAGAACAGGGGAGGGGAAGGGCCAGACTCTGCTATCTCCATTTCCTGGTTTGAGGCAATCACGGGGTTTTCCTTGGAAGAGAGGGTGGGGAAACCAGCTATTTTTCTAAAGGCCCTGGGCTGCCCTTAATCCAGCCAGAGCCCAGGATAGGGGCTTTCCCCCACCCTGCCCCAAATAGCACCTCATGATAGTCCTTGGACCTTCCAGGGCAGGGAGAAGCAGAGCGCGGTGCTTAAAGCTAATACTGATTTGGTTGGCAGCAGCAAGAAGACTGACGGGGTGGGGGTGGGGGTTGGGGGTGTAGAAGAAGGGGGGGGCGGTGTCTCACCATCTCGGGGTGATGCTCACAGTAACTGGTGATTCCCGGGCCAAGGGGGAGGGGCAAGAGAGGCCAGCCCAGCAAGCGGGAGAAGTGCCTTTTGGCAGCAAGGGGAGAAGCCCTTGGTACTTAGAAAAGATGTCCCCAACAGCTGGTCCCGAAAGTCCCCAGTCCCCAGGCTTTGCAACCAACGCCCCACCACTGAGCACTGGAAACGAGGAATGATTCTCAGCAACGGGCTGGCTGGTCACTAGGCAACTCCCCAGCAACCGGGACGGCGGCCCGGGCGACCGGTCTGGTCCCCTCCGGTCCCCTCGGTCGCCGGGGCACCGCCTCAGCAGCCAGGAGCCCGGCCCTTCGTCACCGGGGTCCCGCCCCGCCCGGCTCAGAGGCACACGTTGATCTGCTTGGAGAGCTCTCGCTCCAGGTCCAGGATGAGGGCGTCGAAGTCTTTGAGGTTCAGGTGCGGGTTGAAGGGCGCCTCGAAGTCGTCTTCGAAGTCCGCGGCGCCCGCCGGCTCGCCCGCCTCCTCGTCCTCGTCCTCGCTGTAGCTGCCCGTCACGTGGTCGTAGTCCGGCCCGGACAGAAAGTCCCGCCCGCACGGCAGGAAGTCCCGTCCGCAGACGCTCCAGTCGCCCGCGTAGCGATTGCTGGGGGGGCTCTCGGGGCCGCCCCGGCCGCGGGGCCGAGCCACCACTTCGGGGCCGGCGAGCGGCAAGTGCAGCGGCGGCTGCCGTTTGGGCCGCAGGTACGGGGCGAGGTCCTGAGGCTCCGGGGGCCTGCGGGGATCTGCGGGGAAGAGCGGGGCTCGTGACTGGCCGGCTGCCTAGCTAACCAGGCCCCTGATTGGCCCGACGGGAGACCCGACCCGCGTCAAGCGGGATTGGCCCAATCTGAACGGGTTGCTGAGGCTACCAGGTACCGGTTTACGCACGGGTCCACGCCGGGCGCGGGGGGGGGGGGGGCGTGGCACGCCTGAAGCCCGAGACTCTGATTGGTCGCCCGAGAAAGCATCGCTGCGGCGGCCTGGCCGGGATCGGCGGCGCGGGCCAGGGGCGGGCTCACCTGGCCAGGCCTGCAGCAGGTAGTGCAGCACCTCGATGTGGCGCTTGAAGTCCACTGCGTTGGTGAGGCCCGGCCCAGAGCTGCGGATGCGGGGCCTGGCGGGTGCCTGGCGCGCCGGCAGCAGCACGGGACCGAAGCACACGGCCAGGTTCTGCGGCGTCATGCGGTTGTGGGCGTGGAAGGAGGAGACGAGGCGCAGGTGGTCCAGGAGAAGAGTCAACGTGGCCTGAGAGAAGACGGTTGGGAATCACGAGGCGGGTGAAGCTGGCCCCCTGTCAAACCTGAGGGGAGACTAAGGCGGCCCAGAGTGGGGAAACTCGAGATCTCAGAGCTGGTTGATGGCTGAGCTAAGGCTTTGATATAAGTATTATGCTGGAAGGGAGACGGAGGACGAAGGCAACTTAGCTGGCTTTGTTTTCACTTTCCTGTGCCTGTCCCATCCTCTCTGTATGAAGCAGGGCTAGCATTAATCCTGTGTTAGGGTTTATACCCCATGAGGGTATTGAGGCACAGAGGGTCAGGACTTCTCCAGGATCCCACAGCCGGGAACCTCCCTTGTGGGTAGGTTGACAGACCTGTATTCAGAGCCTGCATTTTTGTGATATCCTGGCTGTGCAACCTTGGGCAACTCACTTAACTGCTCTGGGCCTAGGTTTCCATAGCTATGAAGTGGGGATACTGATAGCACCTACTTTCTAGGGTTGTGACAGTGCCTCAAGTTCATGCACATCATGGGCTCAGGTGTGGGTGAAACACTCTACTGGTGTCAGCCCAGTCAGTCCTGCCCACTCCCACCAGGTCCAACTTACCCTCTCCACATCTGGCAGGCAGTTGAGGAGCCCACGGGTGCCCTCGGTGCTGGAGGGTGCCCTGCTTGGGGGTCCTTGGGCCATGGCCTCCAGCACCACCTGATAGAGGGGCTGGGTGATGAGCGGGGTGGGCAGTTCCCGAAGATAATCCTTGAGGATGCCTGTGGACACAGGGCCCACTCTGGTCAGGGCATCCCTGGCTTCTGAGGCTGGAGGGGTCAGCTGGGGCTGGGAGGGGGAAGAGGAGGACAGGCATAGGAAAGTGAAAACAAAGCCAGGCAGAAAGGGTGAGGTCCCAGAGCAGAGGGGTCACAGGGACTCCCTTGAGGTGAAGTTTGAATAGGGAGCAGGCAGGGGACAGGAAGGGCATGCTGACCAGTGATGACATTGATATCAGGATACAGGTCCTCAGAGAGGCAGACGGCTGCACTGTCCCGCTCAAAGGCATCCCGAAGCTCTTTCTTCACGGCTGCCGAGCCACACAGACGGTACAGCCCCACCACCTAGGGGTGGGGACAGAGAGAGATCTTCTTGCCTGTGCTACAAAGGGATCAGGGCCGGGTGGGGTGGGGGCTGGAGGTCTGGGTCAGGGTGGCAGTGGGCAGAGGGGTTGGGGGCTGGCTGTGGCTTCACCAGCTGCCTTTCTGCTCCTCTGACACCTGTCATGGGGTCCCCACCTGGCTGCCTGAACAACCTGGCCCTGGAAACCCTCTGCTTGGATCATTCGTCCCGGCACCACCCTCCTTCTCAGCTCACTTGTCACCTCCTCTGGGAAGCCCTTCCTGACTACTCCAACCAGCATCAGACCCTGCTTTAAGCTCTCCCAGCTTCTTCACTCTTGTGCCAGCCCCAGTTTTACACCTGTGAGTTACTGGAATCATGTCTTTTCTCCCATCGGACTCTGAGCTCCAGAAGGTCTGGGACCATGTATTACTAAACAGATGGATGACCTATGGGTTCTGGGCTGGGTGCTGTGGTCTAGGGGAGCCTCCCGCCCTTGTCTAAGCTGGGATTGGAGCTAGCTGTGTCTCAGGCAGGGCGGATGTGTGGGGAAGGCCTGGCCTCTGTTTGCTGGGTGTCCTGGGGTTTAGGTCTGAGGGCCAGCTGGAATGGGGCAGGGGGCTCACCCGCAGCCCTCGGCGCTCGATCTGCCCAACACACTTCTGGATGATGAGGGGCACCTGGCCCGGGGGCTTTTCCCGCTCCACCAGCAGCGGCAGGGGCAGCCCAAAGACTCGAGGCTCAGCGGTGCCTGGTGCTTCCTGCTGCTCTGACAGGGTCAGCTTGGCATACAGCAGCCCCTGGGGCTCCAGGCGCACTGCCAGTTGCTGGGCCTGGCAGCCTGAAGACGCAAGGGGGTCTGTGGGGTCTGGCCCCACAGGCTCTATGCCCTGGCCCCCTGCTCCAAGGCACACCCCCACCCTGGACACTGGGGAAAGGGGGATCTGCACCCTGTGCCCACCGCTCCTCCCCTGCAGCCAGGCGTCCTACCTCGGAAGACTGTGGGTAGCAGCACAGTGCCCTGGGCGCAGGGCCGGTGCCGCCGGACACCGGGGTCCCACGCCAGCACCAGGGCCCGCAGCAGCCGGGCAGCCTCGAGTTCCAGGTGGAAGGTGTGGTCCAGCCGCAGGAAATCCGGCCCCCCCCTCAGTGGCCCCGTTCGGGCCCGGGCCACCCCATCCACCTGCAGTAGGCAGCAGAGGTCTCTTGGGGTGGCCCCGGGTGCCGGCCGCAGCCCCCCCAGCCCGTACAAGTGCAGGCTGAGGCGGCCCCAGAGTGCGGCAGGGGGTGCTCGGGCTGATGGGCCCACCTCGTAGGGCCGGAAGGCAGTGGGCGATGGAGGCCCTGCTGGGCGCTCCGGTGAGTCACCATCACTGAGGTAACCGGCCCGAGGGCCCCGAGGGGCCCCAGCCCCTGCTGCCCGTCCCGGCGTCCCCACACTGCTATCCAGGTGGTAACGGCTGATGACGGAGCCCTCGGGGGCGGCCCTCTCACGCTCTCGGCCAGCCCGGGTGCCCCGCAGGCTCAGTCGGCGCCGCAGGTCAGGCAGCTTCTTCATCTTCATGGAGAGGCGCCTGGCTGGGCCAGGGGACTTCGTGCGGGAGGCTTTGGTTGGGGGGCTGGCAGGGGCTGTGCCTGGGGAACAGCAGATCTCAGGGTTCGGAAGCCTGGGCTTGGGACGGGGGTGAGGCTTGTGGTCATCTTGGGGGGCTGGAGGTATGAGGCTTGTGCTCACCTTGTGAGGCCGGGCCCTCTAGTTCAGCTGAGCCTGGTTGTGGTCCCCCGGGCTCAGGTGCCAGGGGTCTGGAGTCTTCCTCAGGGATAGGGTTGTACCAGATTTCACCAGCGGGCTCCCCACTGCCAGGTGCCCTGGGACCCAAAGCAGCCTCTTCCGGTGGCTTGGCCCCACCCAGCACCCATCGGCGGCTGCTGGGCTCCAGGCTCTGCAGGTAGGCCCCCCGAGCTGGGCTCCGAGATGCCTCAGGGCTTGGGGGCCCCTCTGCTCCAGCCTGGGACCCTTCGGGAGCCTGGGGCTCTGGCTCTGGAGGACTGGGCTCCGGGCGCTGGGCTGGGCGGCCTGGCAGAGAGCAAGGGGAGTGAGACCCAGCTGCCCCCAGTGCAGCCCCAGGCCGCTGGCTCTTTCCCCAGCAGGGGCCAGGGCTGGGGTGCACACAGTGCTGGCACTCACTCCACGAGTTTGTTTGGAATGGGCGGGCAAAGGCCAGCAATCTCATTGGTTGCCAGCTTAGAGCCCACCTGCTCTTAGGTCCTGGGGTCCCAAACGGTGTCCCTCCGCCCTTCAACCTCAGGTGTCCAGTGGGGTATCTCCAGACCTGGGCCCTGCATTCTCAGCTCTACCTCCCACCCCTGGCATGGAGCTCTGCCCCTGTCCTTTCTTACTGGGTGGCTTTGGGCAAGTTGCTTTCCATCTTTGAGCCTCAGTGCCCTCCTGTGAAGTGGGGAAATTCAATGCCCCCCTCCGGGGAGGCATCAGAGAACTCGTGGGGACTGCTTCCTAGGCGTCCGGGTTATGGTCAAGCACGCAGCCCACAGTGAAGGCTGGCTTGCTCCTTTCAGAAGACAGGAGCAGGCGCGACAACTAGTGCTGGGGTCCCCCTTTCTACAGCACTCCCCCCACCCACCACCCCTTGCCTGTCTTCTAGACTCTGCTCCCATCCTGGAGTGGGCCCTGTCTCTCAGCCCAGTCCAGATCCCCACGGTCAACGCCTTGGGGCCTCCCCTTTACTCCCTTCTCCCTTCTCTGACATCCTGGGCTGTTTCCTGTCTGTGTTTGTGCGTGGGCACCCCTGTCCCTTCTCTCTGCTCTAGGAACCTTGGGAATCTTTGGGAAAGGATTGGGGGCGGAGGGGGGGGAAGGTCAGATCGCAGAGTCGTCAGGCCTCCCTCCTTTAACTCCTTCCTTCCTGGACTTTCCGTCCCATGCAGCTCCCAGCTCTAGTTTGCTGGTGGACTCCCTCCTCTGGTCAACTCTGATTTCCAACGCCCTGGGTCCTGTCTCGGGGGTCTCTATTAGTAGCTTGTCCAAAGAGCTGTTTAAGTCACTTCATTGGCTCTGGGCAAATGACCCAACTGCTCCGTGCCTCAGTTTCCCCGCCCGTCTAAAAGGGAGAGTTTCCTAGGGCTGCTTAAGGTGGGCGCAGCTGCAGTCACTGGTTAATAGGTGGGAGGGGGCTGGGGGGTGGCCACTGTGGCTGATGCACCGCCTCTCTCCCTCCTCTGCAGGAGTTCGCTACCCATCTCCCGTCCCGGGTCTCCAGGGCGCAGGGTGACCCAGCCTGGACTGACTGGGCCCGTTTGCCAACTTCCCAACTCCTCCTCCCCTCCACCCTCCAGGCGCTCGGTCTCGGCCCCATTTCCTGTCAGGGACGAGGCCCCCTCCCGGGCCTCGCAAGGAGCCCGCAGCGCCGGCATCGCGAGCCAGGCGCACATAACGGTCCGCGCCCCCTCTCCCCCCCACCCAGCCCCTTCCTGCCAGGACCCCTGCCCGCTCTCTGTCCCCCACCCGGGGCCGCAGGGGACTCCGCGGGGCTCCCCCTCGCCCCCCAGCCGTCCCGCCTTGGAGCTCCGGGACCATCTCCCGGGCGGGGCGGGGTTCGGCGCCCCCTCCTCGGCCGCCTCCCCGGCTCACCGCGCTCCTTCGCGTCCGACTTTTTCCGGGGAAGTTTCTCCCGGCCCCGCAGGCGGGAGAAGGTTTTCCTGAGCAGCGGCTCGGCCATGCTGGGGCCCGGGCCGGGCCGAGTGCGCGCCCCGGGCTCCGGCCGCGCCGCCCCCCGCCCTCCCCAGCCCCGCCCGCCCCCCGCTCCGCGCCAGCAGGAAGCGCATTCCGGGAATGCTTGGCCCAAACTTTTTTTTTTTTTTTTCACCTTCCCGCGGCCTGAGCGAGCGATGCTGGGATATGTAGTCGCCCGGGCCTGGTGGGGAGGAGATGGGGGCTCTATGCTACCTTCCTCGCTCCAACTGTGAACATCTTGGCACAGTCCTGAGCCCTAGTCTTCCCTCTTACCCACCCGCTCCTTTGGTGATCGAACACAGCAAGTTCTCTCGGGTTTACCTTCAAAACGCATCCTGCGCTTTTTTCTTCCCCTTTCCCCCATCTACTGCTCCAGCCTGGTGCAAGCCCTGGCCTCACTCCATTCATTCCACAACACCTTCTCTTCTTTAGTCTCTTGGATGCCACTTGGGTCTCTCCCAATTTTCCCATCCCCTAAATTTCAGTTACTCCAGATGTTTAATAGACCATCTCCAAACTAGTGGTGTTAAAAGCCATTTTATGATGCCCACAGATGCTGTAGATAAGGAATTTGGGCAGGGCAGAGCTGATTTTGATTGTTTCTGCTCTTTGGTTGGAAAGGCTTTGAGGTTTAGGGGTGACTCCACAAATAGGGGACTGGAATCATCTGCAGGCATGTTCACTTCCAGGGCTTGCAACTGATCACAGCTGAGGGCTGGGACCTCTTCACAGGCTGTGGACTAGGGCAGCTACATGGGCCTCTCCCTCTGGCCTGGGCTTCCTACCAGCAGGTCAGTAGTCAGGGTGGTCAGGTTTCATACGACGGCCACCCAGGATGAAAGTCAACAAGACCGAAGCTGCATTACCCTTCCTAACCCAGCCTTGGGTGTCATTTGTCACTTCTGGCACTTGAATCTGTAGATTCAAGAGGAAGGGACATAGACCCCACCCCTCTCAGTGGGCCTTATGTCAAGGTGACCTTGTGAAGAGGATGTGGAATGGGAGATATTGTGGCCGTCTTGGAAAATTTAACCTGCTTCACTCCTACATTCCATTCTCCAGACTGGACTTAAAAACTGAAGCCAGATTATGGCACACCCCTGCTGTACAGTCTTTCCATGACTGCTCACCCCACCTAGAATAAAGATTCCCAGTAAGACTTCTAGCCTCATTTCCTTTGTTGTCCCCATTGCTTACCATGACCTCCTCTCTGGTCCTCTTTTACATCAACCTGTACCTGTCCCAGGCCCTTTGCACATGTAGTCCCTTCTGTCTGGGAAGCTCTGGTTTTCCTGAATTTGCCTCTTTCTCATCCTTTAGTTTCAAGAGCACCCTCTTGGGAGGCCCTCCTTGAGTATCCACCACTGTCCACTCATTATTACCTCATTGTGTTTCATTTCTTTGAACACTCTCATGGCTTGAACTTAATAGCTTCAGTGTTTGTTCTAGTGTATCTGTGTCCTTGTGAAAACTGGGACTCCACCTGATGCACATCTGTCTAGTTCACTGCTGAGTGTTCACATAAGAGATCAGGTGCCAGGTGCCAGAGGCCTGGATAGAAGGGGTGGCCAAGAGGCTTGCATAGAGGAGATTGTGTGTGTTTGCTTATCATGTATCTCAAAGCGGATCTCTGTGTTTATCCTACTTGGAGTTTGTTGAGCTTCTTGGATGTGCAGATTCATATCTTTCATCCACTCTGGGAGGTTTTTTTTGGCCATTATTTCTTCAACTATTTTTTCTATCCCTTTCTCTTCTCTCCTTTTGGGACTCCCATTATACATATGTTAGTATGCTTGTCAGTGTCCCATGGGTCTCTCAGGTTCTGTTCATTTTTCTTGGACATGTGTTTGGGAGGAGTCAGGCTGGAGAGTGGTGGGATATACCCCAGGAGTCTTTGAGGTAGCTGCTGACAGTGGGGAAGAGGTCAGGGTCAAGACAACACCTGTTCACAAGTCCCAGGCAAGGGGGACAAAAGGGGGGCCCATCAGGGTATCCCAGCACCTCAGAGAAGCTGGAGGCTGGTATGGGAATGAAAGCAGCCCTTGGCCCCACCCATATCACACCAAATGATTAAAAACCACTCACACAGCATATCTATATCTATCATCTATCTATCTATCTATTTATCTATCTATCTATCTATCTATCTATCTATCTATCTATCTATCATCTATCTATCTATCTATTATTTATTCATTCATTCATTCATTCATTCTTGGTAACAGAATATTCTTTTAACAGTGTTTCTCTTCTTTTCCTGTTGCATTTATTTGGCTAATTTATTTAGCTCATTTAATTCACTGTTGGCTATGATTCTTTCTCAGCAACCAGAAATTCTTGGTAAGTGTTAATAAAATGGTTATGAATACTGAGTTTCACATTTGGTGAAGTCTGGATTTTGGTAGCTGCTGTTTGGATTTAGGAGCCTGTGTGTGTGTATTCTCTTTCCCCCAAATGTTCTCACTGGCTGCAGACATGATGCACTGTACTCATGGAGCCCGATGGATAAATCTAGCCCCCAGCAAAATGTTGAAAGAAGAAATGCAGGTGGAGGGGGCTGGTGAGGTTTGAGCAGAGCTCTGCACCTCTGTGGCAGACAGTGGGGGTTGGTGGATATGAACCCCAGCTCCCTCACCCCTCATGTGGGATGACGGAAGGTGTATCTTCCACATCGACCCCCCCAGATCCCCATGGGACCAAGCTCCAGCTGCCACTGGAAACTTGAATATCAGTACACTCTTTACTGACTTCCTTCCCTTCTCTTTCTCATTTCTCCACCCCCTTCCAGCATTTCCTGGATCACTTCCCAAACAAACTCCCTGCACTTGAATCCTTATCTCAGGGTCAGCTTCTAGAGGACCCCAAATGCAGACATTCTTTCTAGGCCTCAGTTTCTTTGTCCATCCAAAAGGAAGGATAACTCCCCCTGTTACCAAGGTGTGGGGGTGGGGATAATGGAAGCGGGGCATGTGTCTGTGGGCTGAGCCTCCTGTCTGCCATCTCCCTGGGATCCTTAGTTCCTGGGAATGGAAGTTGGAGAAGATCACGGGGAGCAGGCCCCAGCTCTCCCTGCCCACTTTTGTCATTCCCAGTTGTCCCTGTGCCTGTGTTAGTCACCTTCCAGGGTGAAGAGGCCCTTGCCTGACTGAGAGTCCATCCTTACAGGAGCCAAGGAAGAGGTGGTCGCCCAGAGATGTCCCCCAGGGCAGCATCAAGCAGCTAGAGGGAGAGAGAGTGGCCAAGTCACCACGTCACCATGAGGCAGCTTCCTGAGGTGGGATATGGCATCACCTGGCAGGCAGTTAGTGGGGCAGCATACCTTGGCCAGGGCTTCCCAGGGGCCCTTGGCAAAGCCCAGCAGGCCAGCTGTGGAGCTGAAGCTGAGGTGCAACAGAGCCTCCAGCCCCCCTTGCAGTGCCCTCCTTCCATCAGCTGCAGGTCTGGTGGGCTCTCCTGTTGGACAGGCCCCTGTACACACCCCAGGACTTCAGCAACTGGCCACCAGCAGCCATGCCAAGAGCTCTTGTCGTGTCCAGATTGCAGGACCTCTGGTTGTCCCAGAGAAAGGGGAGGCAGCCTGGAGAGGGGTGACCAACTGGTCAGCTGGGGCAAGTGGCCAGGGGTGGGAAGGGCCAGGTGGAGACCCCATGTCATTCCTTAGCTCCTCCCTCCTCTCTCCCAGGTCTCTGGGCTCAACTGCACTTCCACAAAAACATCTGGCCCTTGACTGGCTCCTGGGAGGTAGCCCCTAAGCCCTAGGAATATCCTACTTGATAAGAATCTCTTTGTATATCTGGAAGCCATGCTAACAATGTGATTTATAGTGGGGGCCTTGGCCACACTGTGTCAGTTTAACTTGGAGGGGCCAGAGACTGAGAAACCAAGGTCAGCCGCATGGGCAATCAGCCATGTCTCTGTGGCTCTTATGGGCTGAATTGTGTCCATACCAAATTGATATGTTGAAGCCCTAACCACCCCATCCTCCCCAGTTCCTCAGGATGTGACTGTATTTGGAGATAGGGCCTTTAAACTGTGATTAAATCAAGTGAAGTCTTTAGAGTGGGCCCTAATCCAATTTTAGTATATGTGCTGCCGAAGCGAGCACGAGTGGGCCCTAATCCAATAGGACTCTGTCCTCATGAGAAGAGGACATTTGGACACAGGATGTGTGCACAGAGGGAAGATCATATGAGGGCACGGGAGATCATATGAAGGCACAGAAGATGGCCATCTACCAGCCACGGAGAGTCAGGCCCCAGAAAGAATCAAGTCTTCCGATGCTTTGATCTCGGACTTGTGGCCTCCAGAACTGAGAAAATAAATTTCTCTTGTTTAAGCCACCGCATCTGTGGTGTTTTATTATGGCAGAAGTAGGAAACTAATACCGATGAACTCTCGGGACAAGAAGACTCAGGAGCTTCCCTGGTTGGCAGTATACAATGTGTGTGGTCGAACATCATCGCTGGGAGAATTAAGTGCTGTCCACATGAATCCACAGGGAGGGGACACCTGGTCCCCTGGTGGCTGGTCCCTTCTGGACCCTGCCCCATGTGCCTTTTACCTTTGCTGATTTTAATCTCTATCCTTTCCCTGTAATAAACTGTATATAACAATTTTGCTGAGTTCTGTTGATGCCTTCTAGTGAATCATTGAACCTGAGGGTGGTCTTGGGGACTTCCCACTACACAGGTTCACAGAGATAGGAGTGACTCCCCAAATCCCTAGCAAATGTACTTTGGGAGTAGGAGCTTCCCCTCCAGGACCTCAGGCTGAAGCCTTGCTGCACCCTTTCTCATCCCTTACTGAAAGTGGCTTTCTTTTCCACCAGCTGATCCACCTATTGTCCTCCAGTGCCCCACATGGGGCTGTAGCATGACCTTGGGTAAGTCACTCACCTGGGAGGCCATCCAACATGGTGGAGGGAGGGGTCAGGTTTTCAGGTCACACTACACTGGATTGGAATACTCCCTCGGCCCTGATCTAGCATATGGCCTTGGGACAGTCACTTTCCTTCTCTGAGTCTCAGTGTTTGAGTCTCCCAAATTGCTTTGAATCACCCAACA